CCGGGACGCGGCTGCCGGGCGACCCGCGGGGCCCGCGCTGCCCCAGCCCCTTCCCCGTCCTCGGGTCCTCCCGCGCCGGTCCCTCGGGGAATGCGGGCAACTTTCTGCTGCCTCAGCCCCCCACCCCCGGAGCCCCGGGCCTCGCGGTCCTGCGCAGCCCGGTTCTGCCGCCCCGGCTCCGGGTGTGTGGAGGGGGAGGCAGGGACCACCTCTCCACGGCTCCTCGGAGAGCTTTCCCCGCTTCTTCTCCGCTGTGTGTTTAATTTCTGCACCCGGTGAGAAGCCATGCCGTCCCCATGGGGACACGGGCCCATCAGCTTCCCACAGCACCAGCCCGGCACCGGCGGCTGCTGGAGGAGGGCAGGGTGACGAATGAGGAGCCAGGCCTGGCTCACGGTGTCGCCGGGATCACAGGGAGAGCTCAGGGATGGATGATGTGGGAGGAACCTGGGTGTCACGGGGATGTTGAGTCATATAGGGTGGGCTTTCTCTGTGGGGGATGAAGCTGCCAGGCAGTCGTCTCCCGCAGCAAGCTGTGACATGGCTGATGTCCCCAGCCTGGCGAGGCACCCCGGAGTGGGGCTGACACTCCCAGCAGGTCCCCAGCACCTGTAGCCAGCTCTCCTCACCGCTGGGCCCTGACCTGTTGTGCATTGCCAGCTCCCCCTCACCGCTGCACACCCCTAGAACCCTTTTCCTGGGGAAGCTGCCCCAAAGTCTGTGAGCCTGAGCTCAGCGGGAGCAGTTGCACAGCCGGTGTCCTGCACTGAAGGTGACATGAAGTGAGCTGGCAGGTGGACAGCCGGCAGGATTATGCCGGTGTTTATCACATTATGGGGATACACAAAGGCCACTGAGATCAGGGCCCTGTGCGTTGGCCCTGACACAGAGTAAAGGACAGGGCCTGCCCTAAAGAGCTTAAGCCAAGATCTGAATCAAGAGCTCCGGTAGGTTCAGGCAGTTGCCGGGGGAGGCGATTTCCCCACTCGGCACACGGCGTTTCTCAGGGCACACATGGGGGTGCGGGAGGCAATTGCTCGGCCAGGTCAGGCCCCTTCTGCCTGGCCAGCGTCTCCGTGCCTGTGGGCAGGAAGGTGTTAATTTGTGCGAAGCTCCTGGGCCCTGGGGAGGTCGGGGGAGGTGGTTCCCCCCCATCAGGCTCTGATGTTCTGTCCATGGAGGCCCTCACCTGGTGCCATGACTTCTCCTCCCTCCTCTTCCCTGCCACCTGGAGAGAGCCCGGTGCCTGTGCCCCACCAAAGGTGCAGGGTGCGAAACACCCCTGGGCTTCTAGTTTGGATCCACCAGAGATTAAGAGGTGCCCTGAGGTCATCTTTGGAGATTGGGGTCTATACCCTCCTCCAGGGCTGGGGCTAACTGGGGCACCTGAAGCTTTTCCAGGCACCCATAAAAACTTAGAGCGAGGAGCTGGGGAGTCCACCCAGCCATTGCAGGAGCTCTCAAAGGCCTTGTAAAAAAAGGCGTTTCACGCATTTGTGTCAAGATTGAAAACATCCCAACCACATTTGCATGTGAATGGGGATGCAGAATTTCATGGCATAACCAAACGCTAATCAACTGCTGCCCTGCTGTCTCTTGGCTTTTCTTCCAAAGCATCTAAGCTTGTCCACTCTCGGAGAAAGGATGTGGATTAGGGGGTCCTGCAGGCCCAGGGCTCTGTAGCTCCTGCCCAGTGCTCCTGAGCAGCCCCTTTGGGGCTGGATGTGTTCCTCCCACCTTCCCCATGTTGATGGCACTTGTCTGTCCTTGCTTGGCTGTTGCCTGCCTCAACTGGGCTGCAATCCCAACTGCCTCCCTGGCCCCCTGAGTCCCCTTGTCTGCCCCAGGAGCTCGGTGCTCGGTTTGCATAACCAGCAAAGCTTATTCTAAATCCTGCTAAGCCAGCCCTGCAGGGAGCTGGCGGATGACAGGGAGCTCTGGGGAGCAAAGCCCACGTTCTCCTGGAGTTTTCCACAGGGCAGATGTCAGGAGTGGGGTGGGGGTGTTCGTGTGCCTGCACTGCCATTCCATGAGGATAGGGTGGAGCAGCACCATGCTCCTTGAGCTACAACCCTCCACTCCTACACACACAGGGTGATGTTGGCTCCCCAGACCTTGCTCTGCCTTGAGAGCCAGTGCAGAACCGCTCCTCTCCACACACGTATACTCGTGTGTGTCCCAGCAAGCAGCAGGGTCTTAGTCATGTGTGTGGGCAGGCACGTGCGCGTGTGTCCTGAGCGCCCATCAATCCGTGATGTGTTGGACTCTCTTAACTTTGAACCTGCGTTTGCTTTCTAACCAGCTGTGCCCTGCCTCTCCCCACTTCTCCCTGCCCCGCTCTGTCCCCTGTGCTCCCTCCCTGCAGGTTTTACTGGGACCTCATCATGCTGCTCCTGATGGTGGGGAATTTGATCATCCTGCCTGTGGGCATCACCTTCTTCAAGGATGAGAACACCCCTCCCTGGATCGTTTTCAATGTGCTTTCGGACACTTTCTTCCTGGCTGACCTAGTGCTGAACTTCCGGACAGGCATTGTGGTGGAGGACAACACAGAGATCATCCTTGACCCTCACACCATCAAAATGAAGTACTTGAAGAGCTGGTTCCTGGTTGACTTCATCTCCTCCATCCCAGTTGACTACATCTTCCTCATCGTCGACCTGGAGACCCAGGTGGATTCTGATGTCTACAAGACAGCCCGGGCCTTGCGCATCGTCCGCTTCACCAAGATCCTCAGCCTGCTGCGCCTGCTGCGCCTCTCGCGCCTCATCCGCTACATCCACCAGTGGGAGGAGGTGAGAGTCCCTTGGGGGTACAAGGACCCTGCTCAAGGTCTCGGGCCAGGTCAGGGATCCCTGGCTGTGTGGTAGGGCTGGAGGGCAGAGGTTCAGAGGGCCATTCTGGGAAGAGAGTTTCTCCGTAGCTCTGCTCCTGTGTCTTCCCCAGATCTTCCACATGACGTACGACCTGGCCAGTGCTGTGGTGAGGATCTTCAACCTCATCGGCATGATGCTGCTGCTGTGTCACTGGGACGGCTGCCTCCAGTTCCTGGTGCCCATGCTGCAAGACTTCCCTGAGGACTGCTGGGTCTCCATCAACCACATGGTGGTGAGTGCCCTCGGCAGGGGCAACGCCAGCCGTGCGTCTGCTGGGGGGAGGACAGGATTTGGTTACACACCTCTTACTCTAAGGCTGGAGCTGCCCGAATCCACGTGTTGCGGAGCAGCGTCTCTCCAGTCACAGCCCTGCAACGGCAGTGAGATGGGGCAGAGGGGAATCTCTGCATCACCTTCCCATCTCAGCCTGCCTTGGCTGCTGCTGGAATCGGAGCGGCCAGGGGAATCCCTCGTGTCCTGCCAGGAGGGAACAGGGTAGTGGGGCTCCTGCCTCCTCCCCACAGCAGGGGCTGCTGCAGGCCCAGGGCTTCGCGCAGTTCCCGATGCCTCCTCCCAGAGCAGAGCTCTGCCTTTTGTGCTTGGACACAGCAGGAACCTTTTCCGTGCTGGGGCTCTGGACTCCCTGGCTTGGGGAGGGGGGAACTGGAGGGTTCAGCCCAGCAGCTCCTTCCAACAGACCCCCCAGCACTGCTGTTCCCTCGTCTGCAGAACGACTCCTGGGGGAAGCAGTACTCGCACGCCCTGTTCAAGGCCATGAGCCACATGCTCTGCATCGGCTACGGCCAGCAGGCGCCCGAGGGCATGACTGATGTCTGGCTCACGATGCTGAGCATGATCGTGGGGGCCACCTGCTACGCCATGTTCATCGGCCACGCCACCGCCCTCATCCAGTCGCTGGACTCATCCCGGCGCCAGTACCAGGAGAAGGTCAGCAGGGTGGAGTAGTGAGTGCCCGAGTACTGGGGGAAGACGCCCTGGCACGAGTGGTTCCAGCTCCAGAACCTGCTCAGTTCAGGGGCTGCCCTGCCCTGCAGATCACTGCCCTGATTTCTGTCCTTGCCACTCACCTGGAGGGGGCTGGAGGGGGGGTGTCTGGCTGCCCATTTGGATGGAGACGCCTTGTTCATGATGTTGGGGTTCCCCCTAGCATAGTGAGGCCCCATCCTGGCCTCTGCCCTGGGACCCTCTGCGTCCTGAGTGCACGGGAGTCCCGTCCTCTGCCCCGGAGGTGGCCTTTGGGATGGGGCCCTGGAGCAGGGGTGCCTGGATCCCAGCTCTGGCAGCAGCTGCTTCTCAACACCGAGGAGAGGGAAAGCGTTGGCCGGCCATGCCACCGGCCTCTGGTGTGGTGTGGCTTGTTTCAGCGCAGCCCTGTGTGGCTCTGCCTTGTCCCTGCAGTACAAGCAAGTGGAGCAGTACATGTCATTCCACAAGCTGCCTGGGGACACGCGCCAGCGGATCCATGAGTACTATGAGCACCGCTATCAGGGCAAGATGTTTGATGAGGAGAACATTCTGGGCGAGCTCAGTGAGCCGCTCAAAGAGGTATGGGCAGGCCCCCCCAGTGCTGGTGACTTGGGGGAAGGGGGGGCCGGTGCTTACTGGGGTCAGGCTTGCTGATGTCTCTGCTGACTTGCTCCTCACCCCACAGGAGATCATTAACTTCAACTGCCGCAACCTGGTGGCCAACATGCCCCTGTTTGCCAACGCGGACCCCAACTTTGTGACAGCCATGCTGACCAAGCTGCGCTTTGAGGTCTTCCAGCCCGGGGACTTCATCATCCGCGAGGGCACCGTGGGCAAAAAGATGTACTTCATCCAGCATGGGGTGGTCAGCATCCTCACCAAGGGCAACAAGGAGACAAAGCTGTCTGATGGCTCCTACTTTGGGGGTGAGGCTGAGCTGGGGAACTTGGAGAGCAGAGAGGAGTAAGAGCTGCCAGGGGGCAGGAGCTGGAGCATCCCTGATGTTTCTGGCTGCTGCAGCCACTGCCAATCCCCTCTTGCCCAGCGCCAAAGGCTTGGCGTCCTCCTCACATGGGGCTCTGGGGCTCAGAAGTCCACTCCACCAGCCCTGTTCTTCTGGGGAACCTTGTCCAGCAGATTGAATCAGAGGGTCCAGCAGTCAGAACTGAATTCTGGCTGGCTTGGGCAGAGGGAACATCCACCCACCCCACCTGTGGGCAGAGAGGAGGGTGGTTTAGAGCAAAGCATCTGAGCCAGTTTCTGGGCTACAAGGACAGGTCTGGGAGAGAAACCTGCCAAGCAATCACTGCAGCCATGCCCAGGGATGTCTCCATGGCCTGGGGAGGGAGGAAAAGGCTGTGCCTGGCTGAGGGCACGGCTGTGGCTGTCTGGACTCCCAGGTCTGTCCCTCCTCCTGAGTCATGCTCTCTTTCTGTGCAGGGCATGGGAGCGCAGGGCTGCCCTGTCCCTGCTCTGGCTGCAGTTATCTGGGGAGGCTGTTGGGAAGGGGATGGATGGCTGTGTCACCCTGATACCCAGACCTGTCTCCCTGCAGAAATCTGCCTGCTGACGCGGGGCAGGCGGACGGCCAGCGTGCGAGCTGACACCTACTGCCGCCTCTACTCCTTGTCGGTGGATAATTTCAATGAGGTGCTGGAGGAGTACCCCATGATGCGCAGGGCCTTTGAGACAGTGGCCATGGACCGGCTGGACCGCATAGGTGAGGAGTGGCCCCTGGGCTCAGCATGGCCACCTCTGCGCCTGCTCCCAGGGGCCACGGCAACTCAGGCCCATGGGTGAAGTCATCGTGGACCCCATGGGTGATGGCATCACAGACCCTGTGGGTCACGGCACCCCAGCCCCATGGGTCCTCAGCAATGAGGATGAGGGGAAGCATGGAGAAGGAACCTGCCTCCAGGATCCCTCTCTCCTCCCAGGCAAGATCCAGGCAATGCCATATGACAGGCTCTCCGGGGGATCTGTCATCCCCACACCCATATTTGCACTGTCTGTCATTAGCCAGCTGCTGTCCTTGCCCCCCTTCCTCACCTGCGGAGGACAAGCAGGACCCCAGCCCCCAGCCTGGAATCTTTGGAGCCAGGATTCCCCCCCCGCTTTGTCCCTTCTTCTCCCTGTGCCCCAGCCCAGACCCTCCCCAGGGTCTTGCTTCCCTTCAGCACACCGATGAGGTTTTACTGTCTCTTCCCCACTGCTACCCTGCCCTCCACGGTGTCCCCAAGAGCCAGCACTCCTGGGGTTGGTGACACTGCTGCCTCCCACCCAGGGAAGAAGAACTCCATCCTGCTCCGCAAGCGAGCTGAGCACAGCACGGGGTCAATGAACAATGAGATGATCCAGCAGATCGTGAAGCATGACCAGGACATGGCCCACAACATCCAGGACCTGCAGCAGATGGCGATGGGCCGGGAGCTGAGCGGCAAGCCGGTGATCTGGGAACCGCTGGTGCACGCGCCCCTGCAGACAGCCGCCGCCACCACCAACGTGGCCATTGCCTTGACTCACCAGCACAGCCTGCAGGCCCACATCTTCCTCCCTCCCTCCTCCATCTCCAGCCCGCTCTCCCCTGAGGCCACCCTGCTCACGAAGCCAGTGCGCAGGTCCCAGCCTAGCCTGGGGGGCTCCCGACCCTCTTCCGTGAGCTCCCCGTCAGGGACGCAGTCCCACCTCCAGACGCCCGCTGCCGGTTCGCCCTCCTCCCCCATGGTGCAGTCCCAGGCACCCCTGGAGAGTGGGGGCCAGAGACCAAGCCACGGGGTGCAGCCCCTGCCACGCACGGCACAGAAAGGGGAGATGCCGGCAGCAGCCAAGCAGCCCCCAGCCGCCCCCCAGCCCCAGCTCTCCAAGTCTCGGGGCACCTCGGTCTCCACCTCACTGCTGCAGCAGGCGGCAGGGGCTCCATCCCCCAGCTCGGAGCAGGCGCTGCCAGCAGGGAGAACGCTCCACTACAGCCTCTCCCGAGCCACCGGCTCCCACATCTCTCTTCTGATGCAGCCCCAGCAGCTGGTGAAGCACAGGAGCATCCAGGGCCTGCCCGTGGGGCGGCTCACACAGGACGTCCGGCTCCTCTCCGCCTCCCAGCCCTCCCTTCCCAATAAAGTGGCCCAGCAAGCCGATGGGGGCTCCTTGCAGCGGGGCAGGAAATCTGCAGGGAACCTGGCCCGCAGATCCTCTCCCTCAGTAGCCGGACTCCTCACCAAGCCATGTCCAGGGATCCCAGCCCAGCCGGCACACCCGCAGCAGATGCCTTCAGGATCGCTGGCTCAACCCAGCCGCTCCGTGGCGGGAGCATCCACCCCGCAGTCCCCAGTCTCTGCGTCCAGGCAGGCAGCAGGTCCCTCCCGCAAGAGCTCCGTGGCCTTCAGCCCCGAGGTGGAAACAGGGAAGCCCAAACTCCCGTCCAACATGTGAGTCGCTGTCAGCACTGTGCACAGGCAGGAGGGACCCGGGCGTGCTGGCAGCAGAGGCGGCAGGAGAGGCAGAGCACCTGGCGAGGGGCCCCAGCCCCAGCTGTGTCGGAGAGAGGACGAGGTGAGAGGCAGCTCCCAGGGCCATAGACTGGCTGCTCCCGGTGTGGGGGTACGGCAGGGACGGGTGTGGGGCAGCCCCAGAGCTGGCTTGGCTGAATGAGGAGGGGGGTCTGCTGACTGCCCTGAGAGGGGGACCCTGACCGGGCTCTTTCCTCCTTGCTCCATCACCATCAGTCCCGAGTCCTGCCCTCCTGGAGGCTACAGGACGGGTCAGAACCCTTGCCCAAACCCCAGCCTCCCTGGGGAGCCTGGCTCCCCACAACTGCTCCTTGGGGGCCAGGCCCCCCCACACTCTGCCCTTGCACCCATGGCCTCTCTTTGGGCCCAGGCCAGCACTGGCGGCTCCTCCAGTTTGTCCTCAGTCACAGCAGCAGCTGCCATATGCCCACCTTGATGCCCAGAAAGCTCTGCCCAATGCACTCTCTTTTTGGGAGAGGGGGGGATGCAGCGCCCTGGGGTGAGGGCAGAGCAAGGGGGCTGGAGCCCATAGCAGGGTCTGCCCGGACAGGCAGAGCGTGGGTACCCAGGGCCAGTGGGGGCCAGGTCCTCCGTCCCCAAGGCCCTGGCAGGTCCCTTGGGGCACGGTACCAGGACCTGGGGGTCCCAGGCAGGGTCCCCTTGGTGTGACAAATGCCGTGTGGCAGAGCTGGGGTCTCCCACTGAGCAACCCCCAGGTGCCTCTCCCCAGCTTGAGGACGCATCTTGCCTCAGTGGTGTGGGGTCCCTGTGGGGTTGGGATGTGCTGCCAGGCAGGGCTCTGCCCCCACATCCGGCACTGCCACCCGGACCCTCCTCGTGCTCTGGCGAGGGGGCAGCTGGACGGGGACCCTGCTCCCTGCAGCTCCCAGGAGGGTGCTCAGCCCGGGCTCTGCTCCCCCCTGCCCTGCCCTGCGGTCTCCAGACTGCCTGAGGTGCCGGTCACCACTGCCGCAGCGAGCCCAAGGGTGTTGTGAAGAGATGCCAAGCGCAGGCAGCGCCTGGGTGAGGTGCCGGGCCGTGGGGCTGCCTCCCCTGGCCCTGCTGGGTCTCCATGCAGGAGGGCCCCCCCAGAGCCCGTAGTCAGCAATGTGTGTTCGAGTCATGGCTCTGCTGAGCAGCTGAGCTCTGCTTAAACTGTGTCGCTTTGGGCCAACCGTGTTGCAGTCCTGGTTAGAGTAGTGTCCCCTCCCGACCCCGCACTGCGCAAGCTGCTTCCCACCTCTGGAGTCAGGAACCACGGCTGGTGGTTGTGCCCTGGGGCTTGGCTGCTGCCAAGCAGGACCTGCCAGACCCCCGCTGCAGTGGGCAAGGGTCTTGTTCCATGTGGTACTTCTTGAAGTGAGGTCTTCAGTTCTCCCCCGTCGTGTTTTGGGATGTCGGGACTAGTCCGGCCTGTGGGGCTGCTCGGAGCGCCCAGCCTGCAGGGCACGGCAGCCTGGTGGGAAGCCCGTCGGCCTGGCTGTCGGAGGGGATGTCCAGCACTGCCTTTTTTTCATGGACTTAAACTCCCCTTCCCCGCCCACCCCCGCGTCCTGCTCCATCCCCATGGTCGGTGTCTCCCCAGCAGCCCCTCGGGAAAGGGTGTGCAGCTGGGCTGCGTAGTCAGACGTTCCCAGGCTGTGTTTACACTGCGTGACGTAGATGTTTTAGCGGTCATCCTAGGTGTCCCCCCGCAGAGCCACGCGGGCCAGCCCGGACAGCAAGGAGCACAGCTCCGCTTCCGCCGGCCGCGCCGCTGACGCACCCTCCCCACACCCCAGCCCTGTGCCAGGAGCCAGAGCCACCCTCTGCTCCAGCCACCCTGTGCCACGGCAGACCCCTGCCACCAGCCATGTCAGCTTGTGGCCCTGGCGCCCTGTCCTGGCAGGGAGGCTGGGGGTGCTGGGGGTGCTGTCAGCACACACGTGTCTCTGCGGCGTGCGTGGGCGCGAGTCTAGTCACCAAAGACCATGATCCTTCACTCTTGCACTCACAGCAGTCGATGTACAGAGCTTGTAGTTTTCATATTGCAGAGAATTTAAAAGCGTTTTTTTATTTTTGGTCGTTGTACATAATGGATTTAAATAATAAAGAGAGATTCTGAGCTGGTCTGGGGCAGCCTCCTTTGGCACCGTCCGACGACAACCCCAGCGGGGGTAGGGATGGGGCAGGGGGGACACTGCAGTCCCCCTCCTGCTTAAATGCTGGATCCAATCTTGGCCCTGCCCGGAGCCCGGAGCAGCTGGGGCGTTCCTGGGTGCCCTGCGGGAGCCTCTCCCAGCACCACAGACCCGGGCAGCACAGCTGGAGCCCAAAGGCAAGAGGACCCTCCTGCCCACCCCCTCCCCTTAGGCCCTGGGGAGATTAATGTTTAATCTTTGGTTATTTTCCCCTTCCATCTCCCTTCCGTTTAGTAATTGCGGGGGGAGGAGGTTTGATACTGCCTGATTGCAGAGCAGACTCTGGGCATTAACTAGATTAAATGAAGGTCACGCAGCGTGAGATGGGCTGGGGTGCCTGAGCCACGGCAGCTGGGGCGTTTGCGGTGCAGAGCCCCCCGTGGTGCTGCCAGCGTGGGTCTGGGGCACAGCTTTGCCCTGACTGCAACCCTCCTTGGCACCTCCAGCCTCTGTACCCTCTGCACCCTCTGCAGCACCAGCCCTGGGGTTGCGGGCAGCCCGCCGTCACCTGCCGGCTCTCCCCACAGCAGCCCGTGCCACAGGACACTGGTGGCCACCCCACCATCAGCAAGAGTAAGGCTCTGCGATACACCATGGGATCAGAGCCGATTAGCGGTTTCTTTCTAATTTGATTATCTCAGATTACACTGATTAAGAGTGCATGTCAGCTAACAGTCCCCTGCCCCAGCGTCCTGCTGAAGGGCTGGGCTGCACTGCCAGGGCCCGGGCTCTGCCCGGCCAGTGAACCGCTCCGCAGCGCCTGCCCGAGCTGCTGGAAGCGAAAAGAGCATTTTCTTGGAAATACAATTCCAGCCTGTGCGTTTTATCCCCAGCCACGGTTTACCCACTGTCTGCAGGGCTTGGGCAGTTGATGCGGGGCTGGGATGGGGCTGGGGAGGAGGCGAAGGGACCTGCTGGCTCCCATCATGTCCCGGGGCAAGGGCAGGGATGCTGCCGGCAACCCAGGCCCAGCGCTGCATGGGGACCCGGCTGTGGCAGGGGGCAGCTCTGCCCAAGCCCCCACATTTCTGGCAGCAGCAACGGTGGGGGGGATTAGCAGGCAACAAGGCAGAGATTGATTAAAGCGGGGTTAGCCAAGATTAGAGGATCATGGCGGATAAGTGGGAGATTGGCAATCAGCGGGCGGGCAGCGGGGAGGGGGCTGCACGGCGGCGTCCCCCGGGGTGGCACAGGGGTGCCACGTGAAGCTGTGCCCACCTACCACCTCGGCATGGCGGGGGGACAGCGGGAAGCACCAGGATTCTCACCCACATGCGAAGGTGTGCGGTGCACCCCCCAGCACTGCATCCCCAAAACCTGCAACCTCCTGCTCCCTCCAACACCTGCAGCCCCCTGCACTGCACCCCACCACCCGCACCCGCCCGCACGGCACCCCCCTGCACTGCACCCCGACACTTGCACCCCCCCACATGGCACATTGCACTGCACCCCAACACCCGCTCCCCGCCGTACGGCACCTCCCTGCGCTGCACCCCCCCGCAGCCCCCCGCCGCCGGCATCCCCATTACACTGCACCCCGACACCTGCACCCACCCCCTACACTGCACCCCCCG